ACATTACATAACATTACATGACATTACCTAACATTACCTAACATTACCTAACATTACCTAGCATTACATACATACATACATACATACATACATACATACATACATACATACATACATACTTCTTCTTCTTCTTCCACGCTGCAAAGTCTCGAGTCTCTGCTAACGAAGTCGGGACAGGACGATTACGCCCCGGCTGATGCTGTGAGCTATTGTCACATCCCCAAGGCTTCTCCGGAGCCCCCGGTGCGAACACCCCTTGAGCGAGGCTCGGGCATGCTTGCACATCACTCTTCAACCCTAGCATAGAAAAACAAATACGAGTTTGAGCAACCTTGTTCAAACTCCGTGTGCCCGCAAGCCCTTGCTGGCTCTCCGTCGTCCAGCATATAGAAACGATCGTTGTGCCTGAAAATGGCTTGGTAGTGGCCACTGTTGGGAGTGGCACCACGATGGATGGTGAAAGCGCACAACCTGTACTCGCATCTTCTGATCGCAACTCCTTCCACGAAGACCGGCAAGAAAACTCTCTGATCAGGCACCACATGAAAATGAAGTTTAACACTGCTTGCGATCTGGGTGTCATACCTGAAACGGCCGACCGGTAAGATCAACCCCGGAGGAGGCATCAGGAGGGCATGAGACTGAGCCTGCATGTGCCAACAATCAACCAATTGCTGCATAGTACAATTGTCACTACCAGCAGGCAGAAGGCACAGAGGGTTAGAGCAGCCACCGTCATACTTCATCAGCTGTCCGGCACATGTTGCTTGCGAGCCACGTCCCACTTCATCCCCAACACCTGCGTCCCCGCCTCGTCGAGCCAGCCTAGCTTGATGGCCGTCGCCTTCTTCTCGTCGTCCGCCAACATCTGCTCGAAGCGACTGAGGACGGTGGAGAGGAGACCCTGCATCAGGATTACCCGCATCGGACTTTCCAACTTCTCCGGGTGCTTCTCCTTGAGGTCTCGCCATGTCAACCCCGTTTTGTAGAGGGCCGTCGCCATGCTTCCTGGAACATCCGTTCGGAGGAAGAAGATGTATGCCGTGTCGAGCCTCGCTATATTGATTTGATTGTCGTGGCGAAGAATCAACGCAGTCAGCATGGTGACCTGGGCCTTCAGCCTTTGCAGCTCCTTCCGTGCGGCCATCTCGTCCTGGTTGTGCTGCTTGTCCTTGGCCTGCTGTGTCGTTCCCGCAAAGGAGTTCCCTGATGGACGGTCCTGCTGCCGAGGTGGTTGTCCCTTGCCTCTTCCGGCTTTGTGCCCTTGCCCTTTGCTTCCCGGTCGAGAGAACTTGGAGGGCCGGTCCGGGATCATCTCCTCGTCCAAGTCTTGGTCCTGCTCGTTCTCCTGAAGGTCCAGGTCGTTGCGCGCTCTGTTGGGCGTGGCCACTCCTGCTAGTTGCAGAGCCGATGGGAGCCCGATTGTGCCCGGGGGCGCAAGTGACTCCATCAGCTGAAGCTCCGTTGTGGCCTCCACCAGGCTTTGACGCTGGGCCTCCATGGGGTTCTCCATCTCGGCTGCTCCCGGGGGGGACATGCTGCCGAACAGAATCAAGCGGAGGTCCTCTCGCAACTCTCGTATACAAGAAGGCACCACTAAACAATGCGACGCATGACCTTAAATGGGCATCTCTGCGTTGGAAAACCTCTCCACAGAATCTGCACGGACTGGTGAGCCCTATGTTGCTCTGCTTGACATAGGAGACACACATGTTGATGATGTCGGTGAGCTCCGGATGCTTGGCCAGCATGTGCCTCTTTACGTACTGAGGCTTCAGGCTCCAATGATGACACTCAACACAGTGATGCAATCTTTGTTTGATCAACCTGTGCGAAGCAAGGTCAAGCCATGTGCACTGCCGGGCCGCCTCCAAGATGTCAGGATGGTGAACTAAGGCTTCAGATAGAAGAGCCAATGTGTGTCCCGGCTGAGGCTGAGCATATATGGCCCGTAACATTTCGCACCCCCTAGCATTGATGTGGTAGAAGAAGTTGGGCCAATTGTTGAACCGCTTCATGCAATGCCTACACCATGGCATGCCAGATCTGGCATGCTCCATGTTGGCTTGCTGCGCTGATTGCTTGATTTCTTGCTGTCAAGATCTCCACCTCCGGTGGTGGCCCTGCATAAAGCTGTTGGAAGTAGGTCAAAATGTCATGGAATTCCTCTTCATGAGTCTGAAGGGCCCCTGCTGACGTGCGAAGCTGAAGTCGGCGGCGTTGAGTTTTCGGTGCCACCCTGCGAGCAGCCTGGTAGACGTTGCTTTCCTGAACTAGCTTGGCTACCATTTCTACCTTGCGTCGGCGGCCTCTTCGACGTAGCTCTCGGAGAGTAGCTTGGAGTCGGCTTGCATGCCTCCAACCCTGCCATATGGCCACAAGAGGTGTGCATCTGGACCGGGTCTGGACATGGTTGGCCTGGTTCCTGAGGTGGGCTCGAAGTAGCCAAAGTTGCCTTACAAGGTTGCTGGTGGCCATGTCCGGAACCTCTCGTCTCGCATATCTGTCCTGGTGGGCGAGAGAGGGTGCCGCAGTAGTCTGGTCCCACGCCTCTCGTAGCACGGTGTCTAAATCGAGCATGTCATGAGCGTGCTCTAGGGCATCGGTGTGCTTCCATAGCTGCTGTACCTTGCTCTGCTCCTGGAGTATCCGTTGGGCCTGAGCTGGGGCGGTACGACGGGTGTTCTGTCGACCATTACGTGGTGGTTGCGGAGCTGGAATGCTGCATTCAAGAGGGAGGTGTCGACCACCTGAGGTCGCCACATATGGTGCCACAAAGGGGCGGGTCTTGCGAGCCTCTGGGTCGCACAGATTTTCCCGGACAATCACGAAATCTATCTGCGTGCCCTGTGAGGTCGAGCCGGTGACCGGTGGGATGTAGGTACGGGCCGCCACCCCTCCTCTGGACCATGTGTTGAGTGCTCGACCTCCTGCTTGTTTCAACAGATTTTGCAGTTCCACCTGGTCCTGCTGCTGAACATCTCGACGAGGAACCACTCCTGGTCCACAATAGGGGTGCTCGGGTAGTAGCGGTGCATTGAAGTCACCGAGTAGCACACAGCCATTCCGTAATGGAATCTGAGCGACCCACTTGGAAGCTGCCCTCCACACCCCTCGCCGTTGTTGAAGAAGCTGGGCCACCTTACGGTCGGAGTCGAGGGTGGACTTGGCAGGGTTCCACGCCACTTGATAGATGCAGAGAATATCTAAGGGAACCTGCATCATGAGTCGTAAGTGCAGTACCCTCCCTGGCACCAGCACCGTGTGCCGGATCCCGTCTTCGCCCACAAGTCCCTTCCTCACCATGCATAGCACACCTGCTTTCTCACGACACCCTGTGTGAACCACGAACCAGCGGGCTGCCGACCCGCTGTACTCCCTGGAGAGGAATTCCTGGTCGGTGCGCCATGAGGTCTCCTGGAGGCATAACACATCCACCGGTCGCCCTTGCTTGTCCTCCATCACCATCCACTCCATAACTTCGTCATACAGGGTCGCAGACAGCCCTCCACAATTCCAGCTGACTATGCGAAGCCTATGCGCCTGCCTCTTGTGTAGGGCTGCCACGGAGTTCTTGTTGGAGGGGCCGGCTCCCGGCCGTGCTGCTTGTCCTGCATGAGTACCCAAGGCTTGAAGATGCATTCTACGACCACGATAGATAGTGGTGTTGTCCGTGCTGGCTGAGGCTCGAGCGATAGCCCTGGCCAACGATCGTTTCTTTGGTGAAGCCCTGGGTCGAAAATCGCCGGGAGGCATGTGATGTCGAACGACACCCTGCTTTGCCTCCACGTAGTTCGGTGCCTCTGAATATGCGGCTCCAGGTTCCCCGAGTGGAGGAGAACCAACCCTCGCATCTACCACTGCAGCGTTAGCTAGCTGAAGCATCAAGAAGTAAAGCAAAACCCGTAACCAGCTGGAAGCATGGACGCAAACACTGTGGCAGTGGTTCTGGGACTTGGGACCCAGACTGCTCTGCTTGACGACGAAGTCGAGAGAATTCGGAAGGCCTGAGCCGTTGTGATCGTCGGTGCCCCAGTGTGCATGCCAGTGTTCCAACCGAGGTCCACTATGCACTGCACCACTGCCTGCCTGGAGCAGCCGAGGTCGCACCGTTGGGGTACACCACCTCGTGATAGACCTGATTACAAGCACCCCTCGTTCAAGAAGGTATGCAGTGTACCGGATCAGCATAAGTAAGGCCACCGACGATGTACACAACCACGATGTGGGGCTGTACCTGGCTGGCCAGGTCAAAGGATTAGTGGAACAAGTTCGCAGGCAAGTACCGGTAGTCAACATTTCGGCTGGCCCTGCTTTTGCGTCGCGGCTACCAGGGCTGTCGTACCAGTCTGTGCCCCTTCGGAGCCTGTGCTGTGCTACCTGCTGAGATGCATCTGGATTCGGAAGCCACACAGGTATGGTCTCGGGCTCCTGGTGGCCCGAGGTGTCACCACTCAAAACCGCTGCCGGTCCTGCCTCACTATTACAGGTGACGCTTGCGACGCCTGAGCAGAAGGTGTGAGAATAGGAACCGTAACAGGAGCTCTGCAGCCCTTGAGTGTGTTCTCTAGTTGTCCCGCGCAGTTGACTAAGCAAATGAGAGGCCGACTTGCTGTTGGACGGAGGTCCGGTCTTGCTGTCGTCATCCAGGAGCACTGTGACATACTCCTCCTCGTCCATAGCCTCATCGCGGGCAGCTGCTGCTTCCAGCGTAGCCATAGTGCCGGAGCGTCGGGTAGAGGATGAAGCCGAGGGTGTGCCGCCTGAGCCCACTTGGTTTTCTGCCTCTGCCAAGGCATCGGCCACTTTGGTCTCGGTCTCCTCCTGGTCCAGCTCGAGGATAAGCTGGTCAAGCTCGATGTCCGCGAGGGCCTCGTTCACCTCTGCCGCCGTGAGCCTCGTGGAGGTAGCTTCGTCGACTGGCCTTGTGCGTGCCCTGGGCCGGGGAGCTGCAAGAGTGCGGTCGGAAGCTGGCGGGACCGCGGGGCCTTCTGGTCGCGCAGGTCCCACATATAGGTCTGGCGCCTCAGCTGCACTCACCGCATCGTCCTCCACACTAAGTAAATGTGGGTGGTAAAGGTCTCCTGGGTTCATGCCATCCACGACCACCTTGATCCTTTTCAAATCTTTCCAGTGGGGCGGCATGTAGGTCACGATGCGGCAGCTCGTGAGGCCCATCGCTGTGCTCACTGCCTGCGAGACCTTTCGGGAGATACCTGCCACATATTGGATTCGTGGTGGCGGCGGCGGGCCGGCTGGGCCAGCCGGGCCGGCAGGCCCCGCTCCATGTCGCCCAGAACCAGTCGCCGGCTCCGGCTCATCCTCTGAGGACCCAGAGTCATAGATCGGTCTGCCTCTTTCTGCATCATCACCCTGGGCTGCCCGTTCCAGGGCCTCATCAGCCCCGTCAGCCATGCCTGTTGGGGCACCTGTGCCACGGCTGCTGCCCCTGCCAGTCCAGTTGGAGCCCGACTTCTGTGCTTGAGCCCCTGCATAAAACAAAGCATGTAACGAGGATGTAAACGTCCAGGACGCAGTCATCAGATGCAGGCATCTAGGCTGACCCCCTGGAGGCAACACTACTCCTACTTTGCTCTGCCAAAACATGATGGGGCACAGGATGAGGAGCAGCAACCGCCGCCTCCAACTAGTTGAGCCCCAACGCCGGGCCGGGTCCACGACCAGAGCTGTTCGAGTACCTGACACCCTGAAAAGCTCGTTCAGGCTGGTGACCCAGAGGCCCATCAAACCCACGGTGCCGCTAACTGCACAGAGCAAACAGAAGATCGGCATAAGCGTAACCCCAACAAACCGGTCCACGGAGGTGGTGCATCCACCCCAGTGCTCCCGCTGCAGCTTATAGGCCCCTTGAAGCGATCTGGAAAAAGCCAACCACACCTGGCGCCGGCAGCACATTCCTGCACATCTAATCCATCGTGTCCAGGGAGGGGTCTTGCTGGATGCAGAGGGCAACGAACATAGAGCTCCCAAACTCCAAATCAAAGCCACTAATCTCACGCAGTAGCTCCAGCCTGTCCCTTGCTCTAAGCAAAAGATGCCATCCCTCCAGGACAATGATGAAGGCTGATGTAGCTTGCCACCTCCTGTCACACCTCCGTCTGAAAACCATCTGCAAGCGGTGTGACTGCCGAGACCACAAGGCGAAGAACAGAAGGTGCTCCACGACCCCACGCACAAAGCGATGAAGGGGATCAGGCTCCCAAAAGCTCTTAGGAATCTTATTATCGCAGTGGTCCAGGCGGAAGTCTCGGGGACCCATGGCATGCTGGAGGCTACAGCCCTGAATTGCAACGCCAAACAATCTTGTTCCTCCTTCCACTCGTCTCAAAACCAAACCCAGCCCACACCCGCCGAGGGAAAAGACCCTCAGCCAGCTCGGCACCGACCGATCCTCCAGACCAGTCGTGAGTCATCAGAGCCGAGATGCTTATACATACATACATACATACATACATACATAAATACATACATACGTGCTTCAAGACCTACTTTCATACCTACATACATGCATACATCAACACCTCGATACCTGCATACCTACATGCAGAAACACATCCTTCCGAGCCTCAGCTGCAGCGATGGCCTCTTGGATTTCTTTATCAATCTCTGCCTGTGAAATCCATGCCGACACACACCGAGGCGATCTGGAATTGGCATGCAAGCACTCGGGTGCCTCAATGTCAGCAGATGTTATCCTCAGAGGGGGCTGACACTTGGCAAACCATGGCGGCGACAGCATCGATGATACGGCTCCATGAAGCAATGATACAAACAAGGAATGGGCTTTGGCATGCAAAAATCCCGGAGCTCTGGCCTCGAGACAAAACGGTAACTCCTGGCCTTTACGAAAACTGCTTCCATCTGAGACTGCGACGTTCGCGGGATATAATTTCGAAAGCGGATCTGGCGGTCATCTGGCAGGTGTTGCAACCATGTCACCGACGACTAGCAGTCAGGGGAAAGATACCTTCTCTCTAGACCTTGCACAGCAGGCAACTGTCTGTGAGAGCCTTTTTTCTCTTCTGCCTGCTTGCTTTTCTTTGTTTTCTTCTTAGCTGGCCTCTGCTTGTCCAGGACCGTTGAACCCGCACATCTTGCTAGACACGTGCTGCCCGATCATCATCCAAGACCCAGGCTCCGGCTTGTGGCCCTGTCAGAGAAGAAGCTATTGCGGGCATCAGTGCTCGTTATCGAACACACTTCGGACGAGTGATAGTGCACACCATTGGCTCTTTAGAGTAACATACACACCCGCACAGCCTCTTCTATGGCCATTGCCGGGTACAGTCTGCGTCTATGCTTGGCCCACTGCTGAGCCATCGAAAAAGTAATCAAAGCAGGTGTCGAGTCCGGATGTCAATCCGCATGCAAGGCTGAATCAAGAGATCCAGAAATTAGCATAATGCACACACTGACTGAGCTTCAAGACCTCGCAAGTGAAGAAGTTCACTGCCTGCTCCTCTGCCTATCAGCCGATGGCGACATCAAACGATCGGCATCAGCGTGCGTGCACACACACCACACAGACAAACACGTGCCAGCAGAACCAAGACACGTTGGAAGATGTCTTCGAACTCGTATCTTACATGCGAGCGTCGAAGTATCCGCTGCTTTGCCAGAACCTCGCAAAACGGCACATATTATTGTGGATGCCGTGGCACATGTAAAAGCGACAAAGCCGTGACAGCAAGTTGGGGAAGTCGCTTCTGTTTTCGACGAGCTTTCTCGTCGCCTGCTTCAAGTGAAGAGTGAAGAAGCTTGTTTCACACACTGGTCGGCACAAGGTGAATTCGCTCAGTGCTACAACTCAGGCAGCTCTGAACCTGTTCCATGTAGTGGTCATCGGCCGTCACGAGGCACAAAGAAGCTCTAGGCTCTAGACTCTGCACAGCCGTGAAGCATTGGCCTCTCGAGTTTGGTCGAGCTGCGCCGCTTCCCGCCTCGGACCTTGAAGGGAATTCTGCGGAAACAAAGAACATCATACTTTACATAGCTCGAAGAACATATTCATGGAATTCTGCGTGAGATGCTAAGGTAACACCATTCACTCTGGAATGACCTTGTAGCATTACTATAACAATGGGGCAGCATGAAACATCTTCTTGCAAGAACCAGGAAAGGCACGAAAGATGAATGGAAGAGTTCCACATCGCTGCCCTCGGACTCCCAAGGATCCGCCTCGCAGAAGTTCCACCCACCCAGAGCATACACAAAGCTCGCACTGCCTCCTCTCCGGTACTGAAATCTGTCTCCAATAAGACCAATCGATTTCGCTCCTTTCTTGCCTGACAAAGCAGCAAAGTCCAGATGCACACCTGGAAAGAGGGCCTCCTGCTGTGCCCAAGCGGCACAGTATGTGTGAATGGTGTATGGATTCGGGGCTAAAGGTGAGAATCACCGCCGCGCTCGAGCCATGCCGCTCTTGGAAGAACGAGGGCTCGTACCCAAGCACGTGGACGGCTATGCGGCTATGATAGCATCACTACGCGATAAGCAAAACAGTCACTGACACAAAAGGCCTCTTGCGGCTTAGCATTGACTTTCTGGTGGTGTGTCTTGGTCCTCCTGACTTCATACTTGATTACCACGTGGACGTTCTTCGCACAACTTTTCTGTGGCCTCAACCACTGAACCAAGTAGTAGTAGTAGTAGTAGTAGCAGCAGCAGCAGCAGTAGTGGTGGTAGCAGTGGTGGTGGTAGTAGTAGTAGTAGTAGTAGTAGTGGTGGTGGTAGCAGTGGTGGTAGTAGTAGTAGCAGCAGTAGTAGTAGTAGTAGTCGTCGTCGTCGTCGTCGTCGTCGTTGCCGTCGTCCTCAGCTCGAAGCTGCCATTGCAGGCTTGAAAGGAAAAGAGCCAAGCTTGCCAAAAGCTGTCCCGTGAAACATGTCTCGGTCCTCCAACAACCTGTCATTAGCATCTTTGTTCGAAGCACAGAAGGCAGTTAGCAAGAGGTGCGACTTCAGAGCAAGCCGAAAACTCCGGCAATCCTTCAGTGATTCAGTTAACAACAGAACACTGGGTATGTCTTCCTTCTCCGCTTCACAAGCATGTTCAGCTTGTCGTTTAGCATGTTCGCATTTCTCCTCCTGTTTCTGCGGACGAGTGAACGTGTAAATGAGGCTGCCCACCCTCATCAACCCCATCTCAACAAAGAGGAAAACCTCCCACCAAGCACAACAACGAGGGGCTGTCTCGGCCTGTTGTCTTGAATCAATGCAAAACCGTGATACTTGAAATGATTATCGAGGCAACATGCTCCGCGAATTTGGCTCCAGCTCCAGGCGAGCAAGCGGTAAAAACTTATCTAATTCATCGTAATTTCGTCATCCATACCCCAAGCTGCAAGCGCGAGATAACGCTCCTGAGTGACACATGAGAGGCCCACCAGGCCTGTCTGTGAGGAGTAGTTTCGCGCATGTGTGTGCGACTCGGGCAACCCGTGTCGACTGAGATACTAAACGTTAAACGCATAGTGACAGAGCGCAGGCACGATTTGCCTGCCAAAGCTACATCTCTGCAAAGACTCAGCACTCATCGCAGCCTTAAAGTTGCATCTTTCATTGTCGATGGTCGCTGATCTCGTAAAACCCACCGTAGCCAACGACACAGATACCAAGACGCTACGATCGCGACAAATCAGCTGTGCAACAAGATTCAGGCCTTCGGCACGGGCCTGGCGCTGGATACTCTCGAGCATGACCAATATCCAAGCACAGTCAGCGCTTACGATAAGGAATGATGACGTCGTGCAAGTGGGCCATCAAGAGTTGGGCAACATGCCACTTTTTTGAACCAGATTGGGTCTGACTGTCCACCGTAATCAGCTCTACTTCTTCGAAGTGGAGATGGCGGCGGTACACATTGACTCGGAGAGATTTCTCCACAACAGATATGCCTTGCAGGCGTATCCGCTATCGCAGGCATAACTCACATATCTGAATCCCCAGCAACACTCAAATGAGTAGGGACGCTGCCGATTCAAGCAGAATACTTTTAGAATTCAGTAGTGCGGCGCAAAGATACCTGCACGAATCGCGGATCACACACTTCATTGGACAACTTCACTGCCAGCAGCCACCCACTTGAACCGAGGAACGCAGTATCACAGCCACACGGCAATGACAGTGATATCGTCGCAGCAGTCATCCTCGTTTGGAGCAACAAACCGGCTAGCTTCAGATTGCGCGACAAGCATCATAAAAGGTTACGTTTGCGGCTTCTCTGATGCAAGCTACGGATTCCGCAAGCCACTGCGCTCTCGAATCGGACACCAGCTTCCTCGGTATCGGCAGGCGTGCGATTTCTAAGCAGAATCACCAACCACAATTGCCCTGGAATGCAGTGTGTTATCGTCTCGAAACGATATGCAGTGCCTACTTGTTGTTTACGATTGATCACACACATTAGACAGGCACCTTGAACCAAGGCCAGTTATCGGCAAGTCTCACTGCAGCATCGGCAAGATTTTTGCGCCCAACCTCCATGGATATGCAAGCTTCTGATTTCCACAGGTTCGCGCTGCATGCTGGACTTGTCTACGCGCTTTCCCGGGGAAGCATGTACTCTTTCTCGCCTGGCCTGAAGCACGGTGCTTATAGCGTCCGCATCGCTCAGGAATTCCCAAACTCCATCGGAGCAACAAAGCAGCAGATCTTCCTTCTGGAACTCAAGCAGCTTGAAACTTGGCCTGAGTGAGTGGCAGGGCCTAATGACCGTCCCCAATGCAAGGGAAGCTTGAAAGCCACAAAATGTAGAACTGTTCTGAAAAGTGGTGATACGAGCACACTCAATCCAGGCTTGCTCTCGCCGAAGACACAAACGTTTAGAGCTGCAAAGAACGGCTAAGGACATGGCTGGTGAATCACTCCCACAGAATGTCCAGACAAGTCCCCGATGGAGCGGGACATTGCCAAGCCTGGAACCTCCTTGTTCTTGGCAAATATTCGGTGTGGCACATCCTTGCTTCTATGCAGATTACCGGATCGAACTATGAAGAGCAGACAAGCAGTTGCCGAGGAACACCAGGCAGCAGCAACACTTCGCCACCACTCTGGACAACGCGGGCTTTCTCCTAAGGAATGAGCATTTGTGGCGGTTCGGGTAAGCCGAAGTCGTCCTCACATCGGATGAACTAACCATTCAACCTTGATGGTCCTGTGGATCGTTGGGCTTATGGTCTTCTGAAGCTCCCACCTGAGTCGGCCATTCCATGCCAAGCATCCAACTACTAAAGCTGGAAAGCCGTAAAAACCTTGCGAGTGAAGTCGAGCTGCACACGAAGGTTTTCCCTCAGTACCGCGTGCCCAGGTCCGCAGTCAATGGCATAGTTATTAGTTGGAACAACTGCAAAACGCAGGCTGGAGGAACAACATCAAATGCGAAGCAATGTCTCTGTTTCGCTGTGTTCTGCCAAGCCGCTTTGGAACGAGATGCAGGCCGGCCCAGCACACACCTCGAATCTCCAGCCTTGCTCAGGGCAATGCAAATCGATTGAAATATGTTCCATCCTTCTACCTTGCTATCCCAGGTTTGGCCGCTTAGCCGGCTTAGCCGTTGGCCCAAGCCAACAGGAGCTGCTTTTTCTTTCGGTCGACGACAGCCACCTTCGACTGCCGCACATCGCAGCAACTTGACAATCGAAGCTGATCTTAAGCTGGTGCTCAGGCCACCGCTGACAACGTGGTCCCACTCAGCCTATCGGGCATGTTTTGTCGATGCAGGCCTATGCAACTCGAATGTGATGAATTGTTAAGTTAGCGGCGTCAATTCGAAGTCCTTCGTCGTAGCTGCGCACACCAATTCCTGCGGTTGGTCGCTAGGAACAGGCGAAAAGGCTCCAGGATGGATGATGGACTCTGCTGCCTACCGGTTACCAGCAGCAAGAAAAGGCAACGCTCCTGCGAAACTTCAACGTTTCTAGTTACTGTCTTGGGCAAGCAGCCCCGAACACATCCACTCCGCCAGAAACAAACGAACGGGCGAAGGCCAAACTTGCAGTGTGGCCTGTTCATGAGATCGTGTGTCGACGAATACCAAAACAAGTAAAATGGGAAAAAGCAGTGTTCATGGCGACAGTGGCAGAAAGGCCTGGTGCACAACGTCGAAGATCCTGGTGGAGACATCTTGGGGAACAAATAAGTGCATCAAAGGCGTTTCAAAGCTAAGCTTCCTCGTCATAACTGTCTCTGCCGGTAATTCCTTGTTCGTCGACATGTGTTCCAGAAGCATCCTGCAGACTTTCAACGCACCGGTCAGCACCGCAACAAACACGTGTGACAAAACTAGTGGCCACACGCAACCATGCTGTCCGCAGCACAAACTTGCAAGTCCAGTGAGATGCCCAGTGACCGCCGATGCCTTCGGCAGGGTTGGGAATCGGGATTGGCAATTCATAGTGCACTAGCATGCAGAAGTTTCGAATGCTTAAGAGCACCAAGGTCTCGTACAGCTCTCGACGCGATAACACGAGAAGGCAAACATCATGTAGCGGTAGCATGATAAAGGCTACGGCTTTGATGGTCGTCTGATGCAGGATTCTTCTTGATACACAGCAGTCTGACAGCTGAGCAAAGCGCCATGTCCATCTGCAACGCAGCAGAGAAGGAAGTGTCCACACTCTGCAACGAAGAAATTGTCCTGCTACACAGCTCTACTACGTGTGCAACCATCTCCAGCATGTGCAGCTGCTCACTACGACTTGTGTAGCTCGTTGCAGGAGGTGGAGAAGTTTACATTCGAGTGAGTTGTGCAGATCACTGCAGTGCTTTCTATGCGCTTCGCTGCTGCTTGTCAGGCACACCCTTGCGAGAGAGCAAGGATGCGCTTGGCAGACATCGGCAGAGCCACAAACCACAAAGCAGCAGTCCTGGTTCGGAGTCCCTGGCTTGCGGCCCTGGTTTGCTTTTTCATGTTCTCTCTTGAACTGTGAAGCGCGGCTGCTCTCCGCGCCTTTGCGCAGCTCACAGCCACACCCGCCTTCAAGAATCGAGACCTCTCTCAGCAAAGCTTAACGTGCTTGACAAGGCTTGAGACCGCATTGGTCCACGTCACCGGCCTGGCTGCAACATCGCTGGCACATCCGGCTTGTTCTAGAGACTTCTCCTAGCAAAGCGTTGGGCTCACCACTCGATGGTCCAGTGGGCATAGCCCTGTCCTTGAACTCACCTTCTACAATTGCATCCAATCCGCCTGCCTCGAATGGCACAACTACTTTCCACTTCCTACAGTTTTTCACTCTCGGCCAGCCTTCGTCATCCCGAGCATGCATGCTTCAACCGCCACACCTGCGTAAAGAACAGATCTTCACTTGATTCACTTGCATGGAGAAGACTCCAAAAAGCCATTTTTCAACAATGACAAATATGGAAATCCTGAAACAAACCTGTCCGAAAGTAAAACACTAACATGCCAAAACAATAAAAACGACTACTTGAAAGCCCACAGAGCCACGATGCTGGACAGCAATGGAGTGCCGGCTGGGTTGGGGCTGGGCTCGTCCTGGGACCCGGGGCGGGCCGGGCAAGCGGGGCGGGAGGGGCGGGAGGGACGGGCGTGGAAGAGCGAGCAGTGCACAGGCATCGTTTGGGGCCCGGCGCCTTGCCGAACTACGTGCTGATTTAGGGTCTGGTTTTTTCTGGCCCCCCCCAAGGGGCGGTTTTGGAAAGCCATGTAAAAAAAAAACAATCAAAAAACATGCGACCAGAACCAAGGCGGCCCCCTCCCCCGTATCTGTTCTCAGCTGCCAGAATGTCAGGGTTCATGGCTTCTGTTCTGAGGGCTGCGGGTCAGCTTTGGTGTGGCTGTTTTCTGCTTTCGGTAGGTTTTTAGATTTCATTTCAGTTTGTTCTTTCTTTCCGTTTGTTGAAATCGACGTGCAGAGCCATGTCAATCGACTGGTGGTTAGAATTCTTGGTGCCTTCCAAAGCCGACACTTTGGTGTCGGTTTTTGTTCCACTGCTTCTTCGCTCTGTTGACGTGGAACCTTGGCTAGTGACTGTGGAGGTCACGAACTCTGTCTGTCTGTCTGCCTGCCTGTGTGTCCGTCTGGCTGTCTGTCTGTCGCTGTCGCTCTGTCTGTCTCTGTCTGCGTCTGTGTCTGTGGCTGCGTCGGCATCTGCATCTGCGTGCGCGTCTGTGGGCGTCTGTATGCCTCTGTGTGGGTCTGCGTCTGTGTCTGCGTTTGGGTCTGCCTCCGTGTCTGTGTGCGTCTGCTTCTGCCTCGGTGTATCTGTGCCCCTCTGTCTGTCTCCCTGCAGTGCAAGCAAACCAAGTCCTTTTTAGGTGATTCACAAAACCCCGGCACACGGAAACCGACGGAAAGGTAGGCACATTGCTGACTAGAATGACATCGGGGATAGCCGGTGATGAAGGAATGCCTGTGTGTCATCCAAACACCGGAACCCAAGTCCGAGACCCTTCGACCTGCGAACCCCACCCGGCCCAAACACTAGACTCCCCGTGCAGGCACATCCGAGTTCGGTTGCCAGGGGTTCAGAAGAGGCCTGTAAACCCAGAAAGCAAAATCAGAAACCTTTAGTCTGTAAACACGGAACCCAAAAATCCCAGACTTCGAAACCTAACCCAAAACCTTTCGGCCAACAAACCTCACCCGCCCCAAACACTGAACACAACGTTTCGACGCCCCTAACTTGTCGGCATGTTGCAATGAGAGCAGTGGGCTTGGTTCAGCAGTATGCGTAATGACCCCTGCAGTGATGGACACCCTTGTTCCATCTTGTTCCCATGTCTGCTGCGACGCTGACCCTAGAGAAAACCCGGTGTGCCCGCTCTGCGTGCCGAACTTTGATAGACCCGTTTCTCAGTAAGCAGGCATATGGAGGTCGGTTTCAAGGCGCCTGCCTAATGTGAAATCATATTACTTTCCTGCTATCGTAAGGACGCATCAGCTGCTCGTCCGAAACGGTTTGGACAACGACTGCAGAAGTCGGACAACGAAGCGTTTCGTCTCCAAGCATTGAGGCAACGCGGAATGAGCATGACCATGCCTTGGAAAACCTTTGATGGATCTTGCACAAGATATTGAAGTTCTCCCATGCCAGACGTCACTGCTGCCGGGGAGACGTCCTGTCGGCGCAAGGACTATCAAACCACTAGCCAATCCCGTAGCCACCACATATCACCTGTCACACACACACACATACACGCACAGGCCATCGCGGCCACTTGCAGCAAGGCTAGAGATAGCAAGCAGCTAGAGTTCTTCTTCAACTTCTGCACATGATGGCAACTGGGCAGTTGCACGTGAAAGCCGCTACAAGCAGCCAGAGTTTCACCTTCTTATCGAGGCATGCCGATTGGTTTCAGGTTGTCGCCTACGCCACGCTTATATCTCCCAGTACATTCTGTAGGCCAACAGACATCTACAAAGGCACCTCGGGCGCAGGACCGCCACCTGGAACGAAATGGCTTCTGCGCCGAGTTCGCTTTTGCGTTGGCGCATCCTCACCAACAGTCTCGTTGACACTGAACTTTATAGCGTAGCATCCTCCTAAATCTCGTAATTTTTAGCCAGTGGAAGAGAAATCCGAGCTGCTTCTGTGTCGTCCACATCCACCGTGACGACGCCATCGGCCTGCTGCTCGCCCAGAACATCTGCTTGTGCAGCATATCCCGAGTACGAAGCCGTCGCATCCTGCAAACCAACGTGAACACTGTTTGCTGCTTTGCCGATTGCAAGGTGCCTTCTCCACTACCTCTATCTGCACGGAGCTGGAAGAAGCGGGTTCTGCTGTCGCAGCAGTGGAGGCATCACCGCCTCCTCCAGCTTTCACGTCCTGGCCAAGGCTTTGGCGTTCATGCCCGTGTCGACAAGGCTCTTCTCAAGTTCACGGACAGGCCACGGAGCTAGGAATCTTCTGCGAACTCCGACGACCTTTTGTTGATGTAGGCGTCGCCTTTAGACTTGCGACAGCAAAACTGGGATAACGAAGCTTCCGCCAGCCTTTGTGCTTTTGGCATCTTCACAGATGCAACAGATGCCAAACATTCGCACGCAGTCTGCCTCAGCAGAACTCAACATGTCTGAAAGATCATGCAGTCTGCTTGCCATGCAACACTGGGCTCTGGACTTGGCTTGGCCCGCGCTCAACGAGCTAGAGGTAGATGCATCAGACCACCATAAGGTCATGAGGTCCGTGCGGCAACCCCTTAACTAGATCAAGATCTGCAACACAAATTCAGGTTATCGCCAACATGCATGTCAGGAATTAGCTTGAGAACAATGCAACACGACGGCCTGCAAGGTTATCAGTAGTTTTACACAGTGTCCTGGAAGTTTGCAAGAACCTGTGATACCCCGACATCAACTTCAAGTCCGATTGAGCCCATGCATATGTGCACACATGTGTATGTGTGCGTATATGTATGATACGTATATATATATATATATATACACACACATCTATCGTAAGCACGTCTGCAAAAACTGCAAAACAGACTGGATGGAATGGCGGCGAACACAGAGAAATCGCAGCCTAGATGGCGTCTGGCGAAGGCGAGCAGATCGACGCACCTCCACCTGGCGGGCTCGTACTGCTTGCACTGCACTCTCTGATGTGTTACAGCCTCACATTCATGCTCATTCTGTGCCGTTGCCTTGCCGTTTTGAGCACTGACTTTCGATGATGCGACCATGCTAAGTTTGATCGGCTTGGCAACAGATTCCCGAAAGGGCTATTCAGCCGGGTTTGGCATGTCGTTTACCAACATGAACCATACTAACTGAGAAAGTTATCTGTAGGTAGATATTTGACCATTTGCAAATCGGCAATGAGATAGCAAACGGCTTCCGACGGTACGCAGACTACACAGCACCACGAATAATTCTTGCTTGTACAACGGCTCTTGTTTCACAGCCAACATGCTTGCACAGGCAATTGCCCCTTCGCATCACGCACATGAGCTTGTGTGACCTGCGCCAAACATGGTGAAACTGTCCAGGAACCACTTCTGGGTTAGGTGTCAAGCCAGGCTTCGCCAGGATGAGTATAGCTAAAAATCTTCGAGCGATCACCCCTTGGTATCACAAGCGGCATTGTCATCCGTACCGAAATGTAGGTACGTGGTTCGCTGCCTGCCTGCAAGAAACAGGGTCTGAGCGATTCGCTAACCATGATGGATGCCAGAATTCCAGAGGGTGCAGCTTCTTCAAGTATGGAGAGAAGTACTCACTCGTGGTGTCCATGACACAAATGGCACCCTGGCAGCTTGATTTCGTGACAAATCTCCAACTAATTGTGGCAGTGAGCACCTCCTTGATGGGATACGCAGTGTATTGGACAGCAGTGAGCAAAGCCTCAGCATTTTCGCACAAGTCATGCGGCAAGTCCTTCCAAGCAAAAACCCACCGTCACTTAACGGCTTTTCTGTCGAGACCGAGCGTCGGAACCTGTGGTCATTATGCCACGTCCAACGACTGCCAGTGCGTCCAAGGAGGTCTGAATGGACACACAGTGATGAAATCTGCTGTGCACAAACATGCATGACTCCAACCTCGGCACAAACCCGGGCAGAACTTTTCTCTTCTGGCGCTGTCTGCCCTTCAGCATCACCAGCCGCCCTTGCAACAGGTGGCCCACTGATAGCAAACATTGACCGGTCAACCGAAACTGTGCCAATGTAAACGCGTTATCAATATGCGGATGAGGATCTGTTCGCCGCCATCGGACATGGCAATCGTGTGAGAACGCTATGTTCCAACTAGCACCCTGCGAACTGTGATTGCGCAAAACTACACGTGGAATGAAAACTGTTACCGTCTCGCTGCTTGCATCTACATGAACACTACCCCGTTTGATATCTGCAGTGATGTCAAGTTTACTCACACTTTTTGGAACGAATTGTGAATCGTCCAGCCTACACTTCTGCGAAAACGATCGGGTCAACAGTTCTTACTACCGCACGGACTGAGTTAGAAGTCGCCAAAGGAATTCCGCGTAAAGTGGACAGTGTTTGTCAATATGTCCCGTTTTGCTGGGTTACAATTTGGACGAGGTGCGTGCAGCGGCTTTGAAGCCGGCATAAGATCTACTCGCTTTTACAAACCTTTAACGTTGCAAAAAATGCAGACGGTCTGAAACCATGATCGTTCACACTGTCAAAAGCCTTTCTTTTTTTGTCAGATGATGATGCGAGCGAAACTTGCTGGGACGATAGCTCAGGAACTGCTTGGCTGCCGATTTAGCGAACAGTCGCTTGCATCCAGTTTGATGCGTAGACTAGAATCTAGAAGCGCCACAGCGGAGGACACAAGTGCCGAAAACAACTCCAATTCAATGTTCAGATTGTGAGAAACAAACAAACGTTTTTCCCGGTTTTCCATGACATCGAAACGCAAGTCAGATTCGGCTATTGCGGAAGCCCGATTTGATTGATCGCCGTACAAGTTGCTCTGTGCTGGATGACCGCAAAACAGCTTTGGAGGAGAGGCCGCAACACGGTGTGCATAGCCTGCTTCGCGATTGAGCCAAGGCGCACGTCACGTTGGTTTTGCTGTTCATCTTCGGGGCAGACAAATGATAATAATAGTGGCCAACAAGAATGCAACAGCCAGCTGCCCGCAAGCGCCGATCTGTTCAACATGGGTAGCTGTAATGAGGGGCTCGAACTCTGGGACTCCGGAGGGCTCGTGCGGGCGGGGGGACACATTTCACTGCAACCGCTAAATCTCAACAAATACTGCACCGAGATTCCTTTTTCGAGTAAGAGTCAGGAAAGTAGCCTAGCCGCCTATCTGATAGGGGTCTATCTGAAAAGCCATACACCCCTGCCCCACCGTGCGTACCGACTAGGCCATAGACCCCTATGGACAGGGGAAATCGGATAGGCACCTATGCCTATGGGCGTCTGCTGGGCGGGGCATACTGGGCTGTGGCTTGGGGATAGACCCCTATGATGGGCACAGACCCCTATCGTTTTCCGAGAAGGGTCTATATGATCCGGTATTCTTCTCGGTGACTTGTTTAGGATGTATGATGGACCGTTATCGGCAAATGAGGAGGCGTGTTCAACATGTCTGATGAGCCGGTTCAGGGGAAAGTGTTACACCACGCAACAACAAAGGCTACGGGCTTACAAACTAAGCGAGTTACTTGGAGAGCAGACAGCAAAGTGGACTGAACAAAGTTCACTCGCTCAGCTTCTTTTTGTTTCGGCTTGCCGGAGAAGCGACTGCAGCTTCAAAGTCGTCAGACCCGTTCGGCCTTTGGCCAAAGTGGGTCTGTAAGCAGCTGCTGTGCAGTCGTTAGCAAAATCCCGTTTCGTAAGGCAGTACGAACCAACAGCGTGCAAGAAGAGAAGTTTAGCGGGCAGCGTAGCACAGCTCATAGCGGAAAATGCTTGTGTGGACTACGGTGAGGGCGGGTGGGAGTAGCGAAGCAAAAGATGCATCTAGGTGTGCTGCCAGAAAAGCGGGCAAGCCCTTCCTCACCCCCCTACCGCGACTGCACCTATGCTGAAGCTTATCTTAAGCTGCAGCATAATTGCAGCAGACGTAGAGACAGCTAGAAAGGTGTGTGCTTGAGCGAAAGCGGTGCGACGGGCAAGCACTTTCCAAAACAACCCTGAGTGAACACAGGAACC